ATTTCCACCGGCAAAAACAAGACACCAAAGGGTTTTGTTCTCTGAATGTTTTTTCTTCCCACACTTCAAAGGCTTTCACAAACTATTAATCAGGTTTTTCTATGGCATTTGTCTCACCACCTTTAGGCTACATGCTTGATATCCTTTTTTTTTTTTACTATCCCAAACACCCAGGGATTTAAAGCCAGACACCTTCAGAGACGTACCTGGTACATCATATATTCCCTCCACATCAACCCTACAGTCTTGAGGAGAAATAGGAGTGGCCATGGTGACAGCCAGTGTGCTCTCAGTGCAGGCAACAGCTTCCCTGATAGCTTTTCCAGGCTTGCTTGACCACTCTCTTCCTCAGGCTTACAGTGGGTTGACCAGGGCTATGAGGATGGTGTAGAAAAAGGAAATTTTGTTCAGTTTTCTCAGGCAGCAAATAGACAATATGTTTATTTGAAGGCCACAGAAGTGTCCCTTACAAATGCTGACCACAATGATCTCTGAGAAAGCTTTCACTTCTCACACACGGTGGAGAAACCCTTCTGCCTCCCGGTGTTCAATGGGATGCTGGGGATGGCATCTGTAATGCACACACAGGACACCAGGGTGAACAAAACTGTCAAGACTGTATCTGGGATGATCGTTACAGCACCTTGTGTCACTGGAGGAGAGCTCTACAAAGAGATCAAATACAGAAGTGATTGATTGGGCTGGAGCCACAAATCTTCAGTTGGTTTGAGATGTATATGATGATTGTGGAACTAGTCATTCCTGCAAGCCAAGAACCAGCCACGAGCCGGAAACACCCCTTGCAGTTCATCCTGCTTGTACACAGGATGGGGTGACATATGGCCAGGTACTGACTGTAGGACATGGTGGCCAGCAGGTAACACTGCAAGAGATTCAGAGAAATAGAGCCAAGCCATACAGGCCTGAGCAGAGGTGGTCCTGTCACCAGTCAGCAGCCTGGGCATGTTAGATGGAAATTTAGCAGATCTCCAAGTTGCACATTTCCACTGAAAAGAAATACACTGGGCTGTGGGGTGCTGCTGTGTCACCACCAGCACAATGATGAAGATGTTCCTGAGCACAAACAGAGAGAGAAGGAGAAGCACCTGGAATCAGGTGTGCTCCTGAATCCCAGCAGGAGAAACTCTCTGTGACATCTGGTTTTCCCATTCCCCTTTTCCAGGCAGTGTTTTCAATTTTTCTTTTCCCCTCTTGTCAGAAAGGGCACCTACAAGCAAGGGATTATTTGTGAAGGATAATGTTATTAGAGAGAAAGCATCTGCACACATGCAGCTGTGTTCACATTCCCTGTAGGGGCTCCATGCGTAGTGCACAAAAAGGACAGGGTTCTTGGAGAAATCTCATCCTAGGAACACTCCTTTCCAGCAGACAGATGAGTTGCCCCGTGGAGGTACGTATCACTCTCTATGGAACAAAAAAGGAATGGGCATTTGCTCAGGTTTTAACAGGCCAACTGCTATGCCTGAAGTTACTCCCAGTATGTTTTTCCCAGGTGAAAAGGACAGAATTCCTTTTACTATCAGCGGGAGAAAGGCAACTTAATGAGCAAGAGAAGGTTTAAATCTCAGATTCACTGACTCCATGGGGTCAGTCCTTCAGGAATGAGCTGAACCGGCGTGGGTTCCCTCCAGGGCCACGAGTCCTACCTGGGGCAAACCTGCACCAGCCTGGGCTTCCCTCTGCACAGGCTGCAGGTCCCTGCCAGGACCTGCTCCATCCTGGTCCTCACACGGGGTTGCAGCCTCCTTCCTGCACCCACCTGCTCCAGCCTGGGCTTCTCAAGGCCAGCTCAAATGTCCTGGAGTGAGAGTAGCAAGAAAATCATCAGTGAAAACCCCACCATATAATAAATTGCTTAGAGAGTCTGAGTGCTTTTCTTACCACAGCACAACAGCACCTCGGAGTGCAGTACAGGAGGAAAAGATCTTCTCTAGACACCTCAACCTGTTAGGTTGAATGATCTTGAAAACCCTGTGCCATGAAAAAAAACTGAGGAAAACACATAGCTGATGTCATGTCAGCTGCCCTTTCTTCTGCCAGTAGAAGAACTGGCACTACAGTACCGAGTTCCTCTGAGCTTTTAACTATGGCTTTGGGACACTGTGATCCATATTGCCAGTAAGAGGCTGAGTAAACAGGGAGTGAAGTGGGAAAGAAGCATCCAGTAGCACCTGTGCATGAGGAACAGAACCCTCCGGCCAGACTTTATCCAAGAGTTTTCCAATGTTGTTATCTCAGTATAATGAGACAGAAATGTTTGCTAAGGAGGGTGGGATATGAGAAAAACCAAGCTCCTCCCTTTGAGTAATTATAACTTCAAAATTAAGAGGCTCCAGTTGAAAAGGTGTGGAAAAGAAAAATAACAGCTCTTTAGTAAAGAATATATGTCTGTATATACTTAGGTAACACAACAGAAGCAAGCAATAATCCTGTAACCAATCCTGTAACCAGACTGTCCCCGAAAACAATTCAGTCCTTTTTGCCTTTCGGGGCAGTTGTCACCGCGGCCGGCAGGGGGCGCTGTTGGAGCGGAGGGGGCGGTCCCTGCTGAGCCCACCCCCCCCCCCCCCCCCCGGGCTTTCCCTTACTCAGTTTACCTGCTGTGTCGAGGTTATTTAGCAGTCCAGTGAAGTAGGCGTTAAGCCCAGGCCTCACCTGACAACAGCGTCTTAGTTTGCTAGCAAGAAGATGTTGGCATGGGAAAATTCACTAGGACAAAGCAAAAAGGTAGAACTGTAACAGTTGTGGGTAAGCACAATGATATTACTGCTAGTTTTCTTCCTTTTGAGCTTTTACAGGGAGGTGGGAAAGCACCCAGGTGGTCCGTAAAAGTCTCGGGTTGAAAAATTTTTTTCAAAAAAGTGATGGTCCCAAAGTTTATTACAACTTTCCCCCAGGCCAGGATGAACTGTGTCTGGAGACACTGATGACAAGTCCAGTTAGGAGAGGTTCCCTCATTCAACACTGAATGAAGAGCATGAGGACCTTTCCTGTGGTAGTGCCTGGAAATGAAGACTCAGGCCTGGCTGTCACCTGTTCTGTCCCATGTCACTTCCCTCCCTATTCGGTCTGAAAACCTTTCTCTCACAGTAAAAAGTTTAGCTCTTTCACTTTTCCTTCCACAGATGGAGCTCTGGGCCTGAAGCAGCTGGATGCCATTTCCTAATGTTATGGTTGTAATCAGTGTCCTGGAATGTCTTTCCCTTAGGATTTCAGGAAGGGAGCGCTGCACGAGTGTATCTCTGTGGAAGGTGAAAGTTATGAGCTGGCACAGGCTGTTTCTACATCTTGGGTGATGGTTGTCCTTTCCCAAACCTCCAAAGCATTTCAGCCTGCTCTAAGAAAGGAAACTGGGGTGGGGCAGCAAACACTGGCTTTTCTAAACTGCTGCAGAACCTGATGAGGCTCTGAGAAGGGCACTCAGCTCCAATCTTGCAGAAGACCATAATGGGGTTAATACCTTCAGAATTTGGCAGCTGTGTGGGTCACTGGGGCTGCCTTCTCAGCCTTTCCAATGGTCAGGAGGGAGAAAGCAGACCCTGGTATTCTTCCAGGCCATGTAAACTGATTAAGTTCCATCAGATGAACCACCCTTGGGAGTATATTGGAGGATAAACAATACATTTGTTGATGGCTGAAGTAAGCTAAGGTACGGGTATTTCATCACAGTCATGATTCGCCTCTCCAAAATGTGAGGTCCCCAGTGCCCTTCTTTCCTCCTCCTGCACCCCAAGGAGTGTGGAAGGGCACATTTCCCAAGGCATTTGCTTCTCTGAGAAAAGTGACTCCTATGTCTCCCCATGGACTTCCAAGGCAAGTGGTTGGTTTGAGTGCACAGAGACATTTTCACTGTCTGCTCCAGACAGCAGAGGTGAATATTCAAGGGAGAAGAGCATTTAGTTTCACAGATGTAAACTCCAATGGAGTTAAAAAGTTAAAGCTAAAACCAAGTTCAACATTAATCACCTGAAAACTTTTCTCCTAGAATAATTCAGGTAGAATAAATTAGGTATCAGTCATGTATCTGGTGGGCAAAGGGTTGCTACAGGTTGCTACAAGCACTGGAATAAAGCTGAAATAAAGGTAAAAGGTGTCTAGAAAAAGTCTGACAAGTCCTCAGCTCCTGTCCTGCTAACCTAGAACTCTGTGCTCTTCCAAGACCGATGGCAGCAGCTTATTTTGTGTATTACAATACACAGGACGTCCTTTCCCATCCCTCCTGGTGGATCATAGATAGTCCCTGGAAGGAAGCATCATAAGGCCAAGAGAAATCAAGGCTATGTTACACCTTTTGCATTACAGAAGATTCAGTGTTTATTGGGAAGAGAAGCAGAGACTTTGCCAACATGAAGTGACACCCATGAATTAAGGACCCAGAGGCAGAGACTGCACGACTGGTTTGTTAATCAAAAGCTCCTGCAGTTCCACCTCCAACATACTGATAATTTTTTAATCAGTCTCATATCACTTGAGCTCTTTTAAGCCTTATGATGGGCTGAGTCTGATGAGGATGACCGTTAACTTACAGAATGATTGGTTTACATAGCAAAGGAAAGATATGGGAGTTCCTGACACAATATGGACTTTCAGGATAAAGCAAATCAGCAACTGAGGTGCAGCAGGAGTCCTTCATTGTGAGCCTCTGCAATGGTACCTCCTGTTGACACCTCTAAACACTGATCTTTTCTAGTGTGCAAAGTATTCTCTTGTCAAAACAGAAACCATAGAATTATAAAATAATTTAGTTTGGAAAAGACCCTTAGGATCCTTGAGTCCAATGGTTAAACCAGCACTTCTAAGTCCACAGCTAGGTCCAACCATGTCCCTAAGCATCACCTTTGTGGGAGCCAGTAGCCATTTTGCCAAAGTCTAATTGAGGAAGGGCAGGTACTACAGAATGTGATTCTTCATTCCCACTCCCACCTCCACCCAGACTAAACACTCTGAAGAGGCTGAATTGGAGCTTTTCTCTTGAGGAGTTCAGCATGATACAGATCCAGCCCAAGCAGTATAAGATATAAGCAGATAAATAATCTGTAATGTAAGACTCCAGCTGGTAGCAAAAGTGGTATCCCAGCACAGTATGTGAATTTGGGTTATACTTTCTGGCCCTTTTCAGCTCTGCAGGTGTTGTTGGTTTGTATCAAGGCAGGTGTGAACTCAGAGCCTGAAGGTACTTGGCTGTGTGCTGCTCCCAAGGAGGTTGTTGGCTGCCTCCAGGCACTTGTCCAGCTGGGACCCTGCAGACAGGGACAGAGGCTCTAGACGGCTCAGGCAGGGGGGAAGAGCCCACAGGTGGAAGAAGCAAGGGGACACAGGACTTCTTCATGTGCCCGCAGGAAATCATGGCAGGTCCCACTGGACAGAGAAGGGAATCAGCAGGAAAAGGACGCTTAAAGCTCACCAGCTCGGCTGCACAGCCAGGTCACGGCCTTGGCCTCCAGAAGTTCACAGTAGTCTTGGTAACATTTGTCAGGTCTGTGCAGCCAGGTCACAGCCAGCACCGTAGCCCAAATGCTTGGTTCCATGACCTGTAGGAAAGCAATGGACTGCCATGCACTGCTGACATCTCGCCTGTCCCCTCACTGCTTCCCCTCATCCATTGGAGCTTATGGTTTCTGATCCCTTCATTCATCCCTTGGGATGCCAGTGTTGCTACCACCCAAGGTTTTCCCACTGCCCCACTGTCCCACTGTCAACATAAGAGGTTCCCCCATTACCTCACCAGGCATCTTTCTCTTGATTTCAGCTTCATCAACCTCCAGCACAGAGGCCAGTCCTGAGCTGAGGGCCCAGGAGCCATCTTCACTCTGCAGCACTACCAGCTTCTGGCACTCAGCAATGGCTTCAGTGGACCATGGTGCAAAAATTGGAGAGCACAACACATATGCTGTAGGATCCACATACTTGAGAGAAGAAACAGATGCTGGTAGTGGTTTATATGCTGTGGGAGAAGATGTGAACAGGAGTACTGGGAAAATCACAGGAAGCTGACTCCTCTCTACTCCTCTGTGCAATGCCCCAGGACATTATTTCTGCTCTCCTTTGGGCAGCTTCCTGCTTCCCAGAGTCCCCCCTACATGTCTCCAAAGCAATCCAATCCTTAGCCCCTTCTGGACACCCTTAAGTCATCCCCAGCCTTGAGCATTACCTCTTCTCCTTGCATTCCTGGCCAGCTATGTCCCAATACCTACCTCTCTTGATACACCCCAACAAATTTTGTTCGAACGTGTGTGTATGGTTCAGCACCATCCCTGCCCCCTCCCTCGGTGTCCCTGAGCTGGGCCTTGTATTTACTGAAGGACTTTCAGATACGAGGGTAACTAAGGCAAGATTAAAGGCAAAATTCATGGGTTTCCACACCATGAGCAAGACTTGGCACCATAACCCTCCTGTAAGACAGCGGATTCTCCCTACATCTCCCATCTGGGTCAAGGCCCCATACGTTTTGAGCAAGCCCCCCGGTTGGGCAGGGCAGCGATGCCACAGGTGAGTTGACGGAGGGCACGCCACGACTCCTGCACCACTGTCAGCCAGCCAGGTGGGACCCACACGGTCACAGGATAGCACGAAGAGGCCTTACACGAGCCACGAAGCTCAACCATCTGGCAGGAGATGTGTGACTGCCAGGGTGCCAACAGTGCCAGAGGCCCTTTGAGAGCAAACAGGAAAAGGGACCAAATTAATCACATGGGAAAGAAGCACCTGGTGGTGATGGGGCCTGCCCCAGGAACCTGGAAGTGCCCCACCGCTGAGGTTCCAGCACCAGTGGAATAAGGACATCGCATGGAGCTGCCCCACCAGCTCTTTTCTGCTGGTGGCTTTCCTTACCTTGGTACCAGGGGACCCTCTGTGATGTACGAATGCCCACATAGCTGGTAAAGGGGCAGATGATCCCTGAGGCAAGGCTGATCTCCACTGCACGATGCCTGGGTTCATCCTCTGACCCACTTGCAGCCTCGGGCAACAACCTCTGCAGTAAGGACCTTGCAGCCAGACGATGCCCAGCCAGCCTGGGAACAGAGTGGGGTAAGCACCTGAATCATCTCTGTACTGAGGAAAGAGCCTGGACACCTGGGTTCTCTCTCCTCAGGGCTGAGGATGGACAGAGGGAAAACCTGGATGCCTGGGTCCTTGTCTGTCTGGAGGAAAGTGGTGCCCAGGTGCCTGGGTCTTATCCCTGTGGGGTCAAAGCAGGAAAGGAGGGCACACTTGGACACCTGGGTTCTCTGAAGGTTTGTGATGGTGTGTGGAAGGTGGAAATGTGCAAGTTATCTGTGCCCCCTCTCAGTTGGAGTCCGTGTTAGAAATGAGGGGAATGCATCTTCCCTGAGGATAGGCTCTCACCTTCCATCTCCCTGTGAGCAGAGTGGGAATTCAATCCTGTGAGTGACATCCTGGCCATCCAGGCTGCACTGCAAAGTCATGACTCCCTTGGCCCCCATCATATCCTGGAAACACATGGGAAGCTACTGGAGATTACTGGGGACAAGATGGTTACTATGGGATATTGGAAAATTACTGAAAGATTACTGGTGGTTACTGGGAGGCTATTGGGAGATAGCTGAGGGTGACTGTGGTCCCAGCTCTCACCTGTGCCTGTCCATGGATCTGGGCATAGAGAAGACTGTGTTGACCTTGAAAGATAAACTGAGGGGTACCCCCCAGCACTTCAACCTCCAGGCCACGTGGCAGGGTCCAGCTCAGAGAGACTACTTCAGCTGCTGGCTTGAGGGCCCTCTTCAGGCACTGCAACACCTGAGGGCAGAACATCATCTTTTGCAGCAACTTGGCTCTCAGTGTCAGGGTTCTGTGGGGGACAGTGGAATGTGTGGAGTAGCCTGCACCACCTGGATTCCCTGGGCACAGCCAGATCTGTGGTTACAGGTCTGCAGAAGCCCAGAGCCCCGGGTTGTCCATGGGGTACAGTCAGGGGCAGTCTGTGTGCCTGGGTTCTTGGGGCAGTCTGTGTGCCTGGGTTCTTGGGGCAGCTGGGTCTCAATTGTTGTGTGTGGGTAGTTCATGTGCTGCGGTGATTGGAAGTCAGCATGTCTGTGGAATAGAGGGGAACCTGCTAGGGCTCCTGGGTTCCTACCACAGCTGTCATACTGTTGTTGGAGGAGACGTAGGTAGCTTCACCCCCTGTCTCCCTGGCCAGGGCTGTAGCCAGGGCAGCGCTGTCCTCAGAGAAGGAGAAGGAGAAACACCTATGGGAAAAGTAGGGAAAGATGTCAGAAATGAGAGCCAGAGATGGATGCAACTATGCTGGGTTACACAGGCTGGAGTTAACGCTGGCGGAAGAAAGCCAGGGTGCAGAACAAAGGATCAGGAAGAAGAGCAGGGAGTGAGGGACTGGGTTGGAGCTGGGGTTAGACAGGGAGCTTGCAGAGGAGAGCTGGGGCTCTCACGGGGCTGGAGCAGAGCTTGGGGGCACATTGGGGTATACAAGCCCTGTGCCTCAGTCTCCCTGCTCACTCTGGGGAGGATGCCTTGGTTGTGAGAGTAGTAAGCAAGTCCCTTATGGGGTCTTGGCACTGGAGAGCTGACTGAGAAGGGTCTTTGGGATACTGAAGGAGCTCAAGGATTGGAACAGGCACTAATGCACAGGAGCCCTCATCTGGGATGGAAATGACTGGACAACCAAAAGGTAACTGGAGGACCCAGGACAGAGAATCCCCATTACCGGTGGCTGTTGCGATGCCGACAGACCTCAGCTGCGATGGCTTCCTTGTCAGAGGGTAGCCCAGTCATGAAGATGAAGAGCTGAGAGACAGCAAACATGAGTAGCGGGGTCCTCCACAGGGACCCCAAAATGGGTAAAGCAGGCCCTTAAACTGGAGAGAGGGGCCAAGAAGAGTGGTCCTGTACAAAAACTACCCCAGGGAGAGATACTGAGGGACAGAAACCCCAAAGTTACAGACCCACTTCTCCATTCCCTGACAGACACCAGTATACTTCTGGTGGGTCCTTTCACCCACACTGGCGTGTCCTCTCTCCCCAGGTCACCTCCCCCTGCCCCTCATGCTCCTGCCCCAGACCTGGCGTGCATGCCCGGGGGGGCGAGGGGTGCCGTGGATGGTGCGGAGGGTCCCGAGCAGGTTGGTGTCACCCGGAGTGGAGCCGGTGGAAGGGATGCGCCGCATGGCCTCGGTCACGTTGTCCTGAGTATATTCAACACTTTGCCTGCAGGAAGCACAGCATGTTTGGAGCTCTGTGCCCCCCCTAGTTCTCTCTGAAACTCTGCTCTGCAGCACTTCCCACAGCTATGCCCCAGATTCCTCTGCAAGTCCCTACCCCACACTAGTTCTTGAAGAAACCTTGTTTCATAATTCCTACAGGACTGCTCAACAGAACCCCAAGAGGTGCTATTCCATAAAGCCAGGATGCCATCCCAAAATCCAGCCTTGCCCTAAGAGCAGTCACTCATGCCCTCCAGCATTCAACCTTGCCCCATACTCGCTAGCCAATTTCAGAGCATGTACACCTGCCCTCCAGCTTCTAACTCTGCCCCATAGTGCCCATGTCAGTGCCACAGCACCCAGCCATGCCCCGCAGTATCCAGCCATACCCACAAGGACCCTTTGCAGCCCCACAGCACCCAGCCTGCCCCATGTTTGCTCACGGGTAGATGCCCACAGATGCTGCTTCATAGCAGTAGATGTTGAAGTAGCAACCCAGAGGCAGGCTTTTGAGGAGGAAGAGCAGGGAGTCCTGTGGAAAGACACAGCAGGCAGGTCATGGGAGGCACTTGTGGGGGTAGTGGATACCTTTGACCATAGACTCATCCTCCCAAAGCCACTGGACTCCCCTGGATGACCCAAGACAGTGTCCTGAAGTCCCCTGGGCACCCAAGATATTTCAGGACCATTTCAAGTCCCACCAGTCCCTACTCACATCTCTGTGCCTCTCTAAATGCCTGCTGTGGCTGTCAACCTGCTCCTCTACCCTGGTCCGTGCTCTGCAAGGGTACCTGGGCACGCTCAAGGAAAGTGGTGTCCAGGAGGAAGATGAACTCTCCAGACTGGCGCTGCCCAGGCACTGCCTCAGGGATGCTGGGTGCCAGTGTCACCAAAACCATGGGATCACCAAGCAGGGAGCCTGGAGGAGAAAGGAATGAGATAAAGGCCAGATAGGGACCCTCCTCTTTGTCCTGCTTCTGACTCTCATCGTGCTTTCAGCTTCCCCCGTCCCAGAGGCTGTGATGCCCCACACTGGTACCTCAGTGCACTGCTGCACTGTCTGCAAATTGCACAGCTCATGTATTTCAACCCAGTGCCTCCAACAGAGCTGGCCAGTGATCTCTAACATAAAACCTCCTGTTACACATCCTGCTGTATCTGATACCTCATAACAGTTTCCCCAGCATTCCACAGTAACAACCCAGGACCCAATTGATTCCATCTGAGTGCCTTCCATTCTCAAAACAGTGTCCAATGACTTCTTATCCCCCAGAATCCCAAGTGTCTCAGTATATCCCTATGCCTTCTGTCAGAGCTGCCCTCATATTCCCTCTCCAGCTGCACTCACCTGGAGGGGCCTCAGGGTTTCCCTTCTCCACCACAGCACTGACTGCACTGGGGTCTCCAAAATACACCAGTAGCTCCAAATCATGCTGTCCTGGGGGGCTGCCATCCAGTGAGACCTGAAGAACAGATGCCTGGTGATACACAGGAGGGACCAGACCCATCTTTGGACCAAGAGCACAGGCACTGATCCCAGTTTCTCATCCCATCCCCTGTTTCTCAGTGTTGACATACATCCCCAGCTTCCCCTGGGATCCTTACACTCAGGAGAGCAAACCTGGGCAGTGCTGCGGTCCTGGACAGTGTAGATCAAAGGGGTGAGGGAGCAGTTGGCCTGGACATCGGCCACTCCACGGGGGGACTGCAGGCTAGCCGTGAGCAGCAGGCTGTAGGGCAGCTGGCTACTGAGACAGTTCCAGGCTGCAAGGAGAAACATGGTACTAGGTAGGGCACAGGCTGTCCCTGCAGGAGTGGGCAGGTGGACAGCATTTGGCATCCATATTTATGACATGTGGAGACAATTGGGGGTTATCAGTGAGTGCTTAGAGGGGTCCATGAGTCTGTTTATGGGAAATGTGTGTGGGAGGTGTGGATCCCCTCCTGGTGTTCAAGGAAGGTTATGTGGATCTGCCCAAGGGCGGCAGGGGGGAAAAATGTGGGTCCCCTGTGGATGTAAAGTGAAGTTGCATCAGGTGTGTTCGTAAATACACGAGGAGTGTCCCTTTGACGTGGTGTGTGACTGGGATGGCAGGTTCCCTGAAGGCTCACTCACCGTGGAGTTCTGTGTAGGGGTGCAGGGTGTGTGGCAGCACAAACCGTGCTGCTCCATCCGGCTCCCGTGACAGCTCCTGGACATAGCGGAGCGTCACCACCAGCTCCCTGCCGGGGGACAGTGTGCCCAGGAAGCAGGCAAACACCTCGCCTGGGTACCTAGAGTGATCCTGAAGGTATTCCAGATCCTCCCAGCTCCCTGTAGCCTCATGAAGCTGCTGGGCCTGGGTGGGAAGGGGAAGCACAGAGAGCTGATCACCAGGCAGACCATGGGCTGCTCCTCCCACACCCCTGTGGGGGTTTGCCTGTTCGTGCCTGGATGCTCGTACCTCATCCTGCAGCATGGCCTGGACCTTGGCATCCTCACTGCAGGCCTGGAAGGAGTATATGGACATCTGTGGGCCCAAGGGGAAGGCAAAGAGGACTTCTGTGGAGATGGCACTCTTGTTCTGGTACGTGAGTTCTGAGGCCACATCAGCCACATAATCCTGGATAGCAACATCTACCACAGCACTACACAGAGGCACTGAGTACAGGGATGTGTAGAGCCACTTCCCCAGCAAAAAGGATCCCATTGCTGTAGAGAGACATGCAAACTTTCAATCAGGCACACATGAAGGTCCCACCCTGGAAACCAAGACCAGATGCCTCCCATCCTCTCAGGTTCCCTTTTCCTCCAGATCTCTGTTTTCCATCCATTTTCTGTGGAAATGCTCTTGATCATTCCCATCCTAGTTTCACTCTGGGAAGATCCAGTCCAGCTATTTCCCTCTAAGGCTGCCCAACCTCCTTCTTTCTTTGTTTCACTTTGGGAGCATCCCACATCCCCCAGATGTCCCTGTCTGATCCCCAGCTCACTGTCATGGGTGTAGGATTTTCCTAGAAGTCCAAAGCTTTGACGCCACATTTCTGGAGACCTGCAGAGAAGGAAGGTCATATGTAAGAGGAGAGATTCACACCAGGCAGCCCCTATCTGATGATCCTTGTCATTTGCCCATCCCTACACATATAGAGGAAAGCCCCAACCCACTGTGCCCTGCCAGAGAAAACCCAGGGATTCAGATGTGCCTGTTCATTTGCACTGAGATGTCACCAGGAGTGTTTCTGCACCACATCCCCACCATGGGAGAATCTTGAAGAATCACAGAATTATCAGTGGTTTCAGATTGTTCAAGCCCTCTCCAATCTGGCCTTCAATATTTCCAGGGATGGGGCATCCACAGCTTCTCTGAGCAACTTGTGCCAGGGCCTCCCCACCCTCTGGGTAAAGAATTTCCTTCTAATGTCTAACACAGTCTCCCCTCCTCTAGTTTAAAGTCATTCTCCCTTGTCCTACCAGAGTACCTGCCCATGTAAAAGTTGCACTTTGTTGTTTTTATAAGCTCCCTTTAAATACTGAAAGGCCACAACGAGGTCTTCCCAGTGCCTTCTCTTCCCCAGGTTAAACACCCCTGGCTGTCTCAGCCTGTCTCCAGAGCAGAGGTACTCCAGCACTCTGAGTATCTGCAAGACCTCCTCTGGACCCTCTTTAAGAGGTCCATGACTTCTTGTGCTGAGGACCCCAGACCTGTACACAGTGCTCCAGGTAGGGTCTCATGAGGGGAGAGAAGAAGGGGACAATCCCCCCCTTCAACCTGATGGCCACACCTCTTTTGATGCAGCCCAGGATGCAGTTGGCCTTCTGAACTGCCAGCACAGGGTGCTGGCTCATGTCCACCTCTTTTATTCACCAGAGAAATGAGAGATAGCAAGGGGAGAAGGTGTGAAAGAAAGACTGGATAGGTGAATGGATGGGTGGATGGATGGAAGGGACTGGCAGTTAAGGTCCATTTTAGGACAGACGGATGTATGGGTGGACAATCAGAGAGACATAAGAATTTTTGTTGAAATGGATGGATGGGCAGGTACCCATCCCAAACAGTATTGTGTGAGTGCAGCTGCACAAGGGATAGCTATTGTGAGGATATGTTCATGGAGTAGCTTGTGAGGGCAGGTTGAAAGTCTAGATAATAATGGGAATATGATGAAGAGAGAAATGAGGTTAGGTTCAGGTATTCCATGATTGCAGAGCGATTCCCTGAAAGGCAGTGGGGGAAGGTGTGATATCTGGCTGTCTTCAGGCCAATGCCAGAAGGTGTAAGGGAATGCCCTCCATCCCAAACCCTTCCACATAAATCTCTCTGGTTCAGACATGCCTCAATTTCCCATTTCTGCTCTCGGATGTCAGGGTGGGAAGCACCAGAAACATCCCTACCCTGCCATCACGCTGACAGGGTGGACAGCCAGAGCAAATACGGTGTAAGTCCTGGGGGGAAAAGGGTGAGGGATGGTCAGGGGGATGAACTGATGAAGCACCAGCTCTCCATGTAAACAAGGACAGTTCACAGAGAAGAGGATCAGAATAACGAGGTGAAGCACAACCAAGTAGACACTCACCAGAACCAAGGCCAGAGCCAGCAGAGAGCGACTGACGGAGGGAGAGATGGAAGAGGGAGGGAGAGAGAGATGGAAAGACAGAACGAGAGGTGTCCGGGCAGACAGGGAGATGCAGTGCTACGTCAGCTGAGCGGTGACTGTGATGGGGAGAGGCGGGGGCAGTCGGACAGACGGACGGGCCGGAGGGAGGCAGGGCCGGGGGCGGAGACAGATCGCTGCAAACCTCCATGCGGGCTGTGGAGATCCTGGATATCGGGGAGCCTGGGAGGTTGGGGGATGGGGATGGGTGAGGGACACCCCGGCGGAGGGGTCTGACCGGGTCCCTGGATCCCCCTCCCCGCTGCGCTGCGGGCCGCGGCACCCACGGGCTGAGCATCCCCCGCGCGGGTTGATCCGGGCACGGCCACGGACGGGACTGCAGAGCCCCGGCAGGACCGGGTGTGCCGAACCTGCCCCCGCCCCCGGGCCCTTCCACTCTGTCCTCACATCTGACACAATGGGCAGCGGCTGCCAAGGGCCCCTGCAATCAGACCAGTCTCGTCTGTGTCACCCAGGGAGGTGGCACTCCAGCCTGTCCCCTGCCAGGCCTGCAGTGCTGGCTGCAGATTTGGAGGTCCATTCACTGATTAGTGCCAGGCTGTTAAGTGGACACTGAATTGCAAAGAAGCAAAACTGGCCTGCTGGCCAGCTGAGGAATGGGAAGAATTGGCAGACAAGTGTAATATATACCAAATATACTACATTTGACATGGGTGTTTCTTCTCACCTGCTGAATTGGGATGGTGCATCTCCTCCTTCCTCCCAGCCAACCCACACTCTTCCTTCCCTGGCTGAGACAACCCACCTCATTGCTGATCTCTAGACACTCAAGGGGCCAAATTGCATTTGACTTCAGATATGCTGCTCCCAGCACTGAGCTCTTGCTTCTCCAGCAGACCTGGGCAGCTTCCCCCACTCTACCTTGCAGGACTGGTGTGATTCTCAGATCAGACCACTCCAAGGTCTGTGCTGGCAGTGTGACAGCTGTGACCAGCACAGGCAATTCAAGATGCCTTTTTCCAGTTTCTGCCTTTGTTCAAGTTCTATCACAGTGTCTCTGAGGAAGAGGGTGACCAACATTTGTGTGCTGCTAGTAGATGAGACCCATGACTCGACCTTCAGAAACTGGTGGAACACCCCATGTTGTCTTCAATAGTTCTGATGCTTATGGGTAGGCAAAGGATTCCCAGGTGTAGATGTTACATGCTGCATCTGAGCATCCAGGGAACATATTCTTGCCTCTTGGATCATCCTTTCCTCGGCACAGGGGATGAGTAAGTGGCACACTTGGTCAAAAAGGGCCACAAACACTGAGCTGCTGACCTTTGAATCCAGCTTCACCTTCCCAAAACTTGTGTCCAGCTGGATGCATAGTTGAAGATTCTCACAGACTTATGACTTTGTGCCAGTGAATGGTTTTCAGGTGCTGAACCTCCAGTATCTCTCTTCTGAGCATCTCTGGAGGATGTCAGCCCCCTTGAGTCTGGACCTCTTTTGAAGTGCAAGCTCAGAAAGGAGAGGAACTGAGGTGTGCAGAGAGTGTGGCTCTGGGTACAGTTCCATGGAACCATTCAGGGCACTGTGTTTCCACTGGTTTCTTAAGGCTGCAGATTTGAGCATGGAGGGCCCTGCCAGGGAGAAGCAAAGACCAACTGCTGCTCCAGGGAAGGGGATTTGGGAGCCAAATGCACCAGCAGGGTGGGCAGGAGCAGTGACTTCACAAACACAGAGCCAGGATGCTGGGGGGTAATTCAGGGTCAGGACTGGTTCCAGAGAGAGGGGCCAGGATCAGGCACAGTCAGTGTTCAGCTGGCAAGTTGGGTAACAGTGGGGACAGGCCCTTGTTTCTTGCTTTCTTCTCAACAGCCCATGTTGGCAAAGGAGCTGACCATCAAAACTGCTTGACTGAGCTAGCTGAACTCCAGGTGGGGCACACGTTCCAGACCTTGAGTGTCTACACCCTGAAGACAGACATACAGTACAAGTTCTGTATTCTTAAGCTACTTTTGTTGGAACTTGTACCATCCACCCAGACCTACTCTGCTATCAATAGGCTTCCAGATGTGCTTCTCTCCCTCAGTTGGCAACAAAAGTTATCTGATGTCGGCTTATTTTCTTTGAGAAGTCCCATTAGCAAGTTTTCAGAAACTTTGGGACATTAGGATAGTTTCCAGTCAAATGGACAGAAGAGGCAACTTGAGGAGAACTGATTCCTGCTTTCCTGTACCTTCCAGACAAAATCACTCCGGTAGAAGTGATTTTCACACAGTTGGGAGTAAGCCTTCCGGCTTTTCTACAGCCTAAAGAAATCCTATAGTGGGGCAAATCCCACTGGGATTTACTGATTTGAAAGAGCCTACTGCTCACCGTAGTGCATTACTGCATTGTATCTTTGGCTGGGCCCTCTGCACTGCTCCCTCAGACTCCCCATCCTTGTTCAAGGACTCCAGCTTGCAGACATACAGGTTTTAAAATGACAGCATTTCTATTAGGGAAGACAACTTCTCTCACATGTCATCAGTGTGAAGTCGTGGTCATCCATGCCCAGAGATTTGTTCTTGGAAGGCAGGGTTAACTTCTGGTGTAGATCCAAGGAACATATGAAGTCTTGTTGATCTTGGTCAGCTTGTAAATAAGGGTTGTAAGCTTTTTTCAGGGCATCTCAAGTCTGAAACATGATTTGCTGATAATCACAGGCCAAAGCAAAGCCTCAGACTCTTTCTGAAGATAGCAAGTGGGCTTTGAAACCTAAAGTTGAGTCTCTGTGGAGTTCCAGAGCTAGATTAGACTACAGCCAAGGCTCTTTGTCCTCCTTGCAGGGCCCTCTGACAGTTTGTCACAGACCCAAATGGTCTTTTGATATTTAATCAATCACAAGAACTACAATATCCTCAGGAGTACTTCAACAGTAAAGGATATTTATTTCTTCAGCAAAGTTTGAGAAACTTGTTGTACTTTCAAAATTTGCTCTGCTTTTTCAATGTGTAAAAACACTTCCAAATATTTTCTTTCTAAAACGTTCTTGTTATAATGTTATTCTGTCCGTGACCATTGTTACTCCTTCTGCTTTCAGTACACAATTATTCGTGAATTTTTCATGACATAAGAGTATATATGGACTTTCAGTAATAGAGTTTAAACGAGACTGATGTGGGTTTGAAGGCTCTGGCCTGATCCAGTCTGTTTTAAGATGTAAAATTCAGTTGTCAAAGTGTAAAATACATGTATATGCAAGTTAAAACATACACACTGAAAGAACACAGTTTAGGAAAAATAAATCATTTTAATGTGACAAATATAAGCGGCTTCTGACCTGCCCCACAGTCACTGCTGCTGACTGCTCCTTTCCTGCTCACATGGCACATGTTGACTGCAGGAGAGAGAAGAAAGTGCTGGAAATAGGGAGGGATTTTCTGGCCTGCAATTTGGATGGAAAGGGATGCTATGGGGGGAGGCAGAGCAAAGCCAATGTGGTTCAGGACTGGGTGGAAAGCCTTGAGAGCACGATGTGTCAGATTGTGGTGTCTCTTGGTCCCTTCTGGCCAAATCACCATCCTCTTGACACCCACCTTTAAAATATTTATATGCATTTATGAGATCCCCTCTCAGTCTTCTCTTCTCTAGACTGAGCAGGCTTGGCTCCTGCAGTCTTCCCTCATCAGAGAGATTCTCCAACCCCTTAATCATCTTTGTGGCCTCCCCTGGACCCTCTCTAGTAATTTGTTGTCTTTCTTGTACTGAGGAGACTGGACACAGCACTCCTGATGTGGCCCCAGCAGGGCCAAGTAGAGGGGCAGGATCACCTCCCTGAACTTCTGGCCACACTGTTCCTGATGCCCCCCAGGATCCCATTTGCCCTCCTGGTTCCCAGGGTATATGGCTGGCTCATGACCACCTTGTCATCTACCAAGACTGCCATGTCCTTCTCCACAGAGCTGCTCTCTAGTAGGTTCCTGGGGTTATCCCTCCCCAGTGCAGGACCCCACTCTTGCCCTTGTATCTCTCTAGGTTTCATCCCACCCAACCCTCCAGCCTATCAAGGTCACACTGAATATACAACAGCCCTCTGACAAGACTGGGAACAAGCTACCTAGTGGACTTTGGGGCACTAGGTAACCAGCTGGGTAACCAAGTAACCGACTAGGTAGCCAGCTGGGTAACCAAGCCACCTTCAGGTACCATCACACTCTTTTA